CCCCGCAGGACACACGTGTGCTCACACTGCAATCTAACAGGAGGCTCCCTGCGGGACACACGTGTGCTCACACTGCAATCTAACAGGAGGCTCCCTGCAGGGCACGTGTGCTCACACTGCAATCTAACAGGAGGCTCCCTGCGGGACATACGTGCTCACACTGCAATATAATAGGTGGCTACCCGCAGGGCACCCACTTTTGAGGACAGGAAGAGCTCAGATTAAAAGCACCTGGGCTGGTACTTGGTCTTTTATGGGCATGGGGGACTGGGTCTGAGCTGTGGAGAGATGGTAAGATTTAGGGAAGCTGAAGGAAGGGCACCTGTGGGCAGAGGGAACATGGAGTGGGGAGCTCCAAGAGGCAGAAGATCCCTAGAGGTGAGGCCAGGTGTGCAGGGCAGAGCTAGGAAGGCCAGGATGGGGGCCCAGGATTAGACTCCCCCAAGGCATTCATCCTTCAGTTCTTAAACTGGGGGAGCTAATGACCATCCAGTAACTTCTCTCCCCCTGCTGTGGCTGGGCTGATGGGCCACTTACTTGCTGTACTTGTCATCATATCTGCAGATGTAGCTGAGGTGAGCAGCAAACGCCTCCACTGCCAGGGGGCAGGGAACCTCCCCACTCTTCCTCTTGATGATGACTCCTGCAGGTGAGAGAGAAGGTAAAGCCCTTTTCTGAACTGCAGCCTCTGAACACCTGTTTGCACATGTGCCTGTGTCCATCCATCCAGGCAGCCCTGGACCTACGATCCTGAGCAGAAGAGGAGGAGGATGGGGGAGATGAAGAACTATCAGCACCGGGTACCAAGTGCTTCCGAGGACTTGAGGAAGATATCACAGACAGGTGAGTGCAAACGTGTGTGCCGCTCAGACCCAGGGCCCCCGGTCACCGGGGCAAGGCCACATGTGCAGGGTCCCGACTGTCCTATAGGCAGCTCTGAGCCACACAAGGCAGGGCACTACCCCAGAAAGGGGGGAAAAGAGGGCACAGGACTCACTCTTCCCCCCTCCCTTCTGCCAGGCTTGGGGAGAGCAGGAAGCAGCTGAGGTCTAGGAGCACTGTGGAACTGTGTTCCTCTGCTTCCATCAAAGCAAAAGGGTGGATTTAGATACTCAGAGGATGGAGGTTGCCCTCCCCTCCCAGGTCTTTGGGTGTGTGTGTGTGTGTGTGTGTGTGTGTGTGTGTGTGTATATATATATATATATATATATATACAGGAATCACAGAAGTATAGCCCAGGTCACACAAAATTCTTAAGTCCCTCTGCCAGGGCCTGAGGAACAAATGGGAACATTGGTCTTCCTCCTCCCCCCAGTGCTGCCCAAGGCTTCCCGGGCCTGCCTGATGCACAGACAATGCAGAGATGTACAGGGGGCATCAGGCAGGCCAAGTTCACCTGCTGCTTCGTCTGACCAGCCTTTCCTCCCAGCCTGAAGAGATTACAGGCACAGTGCCATTTTGTGCAAATATTTTTTTTTAAGGGATTAGTTTACAGGACTGTGAAATCTCACTTGAGCAGACAAGGCCCAAGTAAAAAGGCCATGTCCCTAATGCTGTCCCTACTCTCTCTGAGGGATTCCAGGTAAGATGGCCAAGGGTGCACAGGTCTATTTATAGAGGCCGAGGTGGGATCTGTCACCCCAGAAATAGTGCTATTATGCCCTGATGAAAAACCTGCAGAAAGTACTATGAGAAATTTAGCTGCCAGGGCCTATAACTAGGAAGCAGGCCCAGTGTAGGGCCCAGACAACATGCTTCCTAAAGTTCTCCAAGTGCCAGAGGACTGTGATACCCACACAGGGCCATCTGCCTGGCCAGAAGTTCTGGACTCCATTACTTGCTTACGGACCCCCTTTGCCCTCAAACATGTCCTGTTGTCAGGGCATCACGCAAGGCATGGGACTTGCCCAAGGCACAGCTTTCTGGCTCCTGAGGGAGGGCTGCATGTCCTGAGTGCCTACAGATGGCTGTCTCTGTCCAATATCCCCCAGGAGCACTCCGACCCCAGCTCCTACCTCAGCTCCCCACCTCCCCACAGTGTGTCCGGATCTGAGGATCTCTGGCCTCTATGGGCTCTGAGTGGGTGGAGGAAGGGTAGGTCCTCCAAAGAAGAAATATGAGTCCCCTCAGTTTTCTCTCCGCAGAGCTTCCAGATGCCACTTTCTCTCAGCTGTCACTGTTCCTGGGGAGGCAGAGCCACTCTCCAAGGACCTCAGGGTCTTCCAGGTCCCTGCAGCTCTTACCTTCCTGGTTTTAGGCCACCTGGGGCAAAGAAGCCTGGACTGCCACTGTCCCCATATACTTACCCATGGAGACCTTCTTTAACTCCTAATTACCTTCCCATCCTTTCTTCATAATTTAAAATTTAACATGAATGTCTCGGCTTGAAATCCTACTGAGTTGCTTCAACTCCCAGATGTGCAGTGGTCTCTGAGCATTTCCTAGTTTATAAGCCAGATCACCCTGTTTCCTCCACAATATTTTGGATTTTGAGATTTTGAACAGCTGGGAAGGTAAGGTAGCTGTCTTATAACACCCTTCCTGTGAACTTTACACACTGGAAATGTTAACGTGAGGTCACCTAGCATTTAGACGTGTGTGTCACCCACAGCGTCACCACATTTGTACTCAGCTACACGGGCATCTGTGTGCACATCTGTCTACCCATCCGGACACTGGGGCTGTCTCCCCTGGCTGCCATTCTCGCTGCCACGCTGCCAGTCTGACTGGGTGAGTGAAGGTTGGACTCACACTCACACCTTCTCCTTCTCACTCTTCTTAGTGAGTCTAAATCTGAAATACACAAAGACTCCAGTGGGGAGATGGCAGACTCAAAATGGATCATGGAAGAGACGCAAAGGATCTGGCCCACAACAGAAATGCCCTTTAACATGTGATGCATTTAATTTTTAAAAACCTTTTGTATATGCTCACATTCTCTGAAAGAAGGTTTGTATTACCCTAGAATCTGAAGTAAAGAATAATCAACTAATTCTTAAAATGTTCATAGCTATTTATCTTTTTTTCTAAAATTGGAATTCTGGCCAACTTCAAGAGTATATATGATCATAAAAGAATAGAATCACTTTTAGAACACATGAGTTTCAGCTCATCATCTGGGTGAAATTTAAAACAAATAGAGAAAGAATGAATTATTGGACAAATGGCTCAGACATGGAGGTGAGGCTACCTGGTCAACCCACCCTGGCCACTTAGTAAGCCTAACCAGTGCCATGGACCAAGTTAATTTGAAGTAAATTATAGTAAAGAATGCACAATACACAATAAAACCAACAGTGGAGCTTACACTTATCTGGCCTTGGAATGGAGGAGAGACTTTTAAAAGTATGGTCTGAGTGAACATGACTCACAGATCTGCCTATGTAGAAATGAAAAACTTTACGTTTTAAAATACCAATCATAAGTAGGAACAAAAGATAAAGAACACATCAGTTAGTAGCATGTGAGAGTTCTGATGGCATTGTTAAAAAAAAAGAAAAAGAGATTCTGGGAAGATGGCCGACTAGTAGCAACCCTGGTAAGAGGCTCCTGAGCAAAGAAAGAAAAACTGGTTGGAATCAGAATATATGAAGCCAAAGATGGGGAGCTGAGCTCAGAAAGAAGTTCGGCAAGCTGTAAATCCAAGGAAGACCATTTAAGAACACAAAATACAGGTACAAAGCGGGCCCCAGAACTGCTTGCTAGAGCCGCTCGCCTCCCGCCGGTGACGGGTGGCCGCAGAAAAGTCCCCTGTGCCGGGAAGGCACAGAATGACTTGGTAGAGCCTTCCGCACCCCCGCGGGTAGCAGCGGACGAGTCCCCCCACTCTGGGAGGACCCAGAACTGCTTGCTAGAGCTGCGCACCCCACGGGTGACAGAGGAGACCCCCACTCCAGGGCTCTGGGCAGGTTCAGAACTGCTTGCTAGAACCGCAAGCCTCCCGCAGGCGGCGGGTGGCCCAGGAGAAGTTCCCCTGCTCCGGGAAGCCACAGAAGTACTTGCTAGAGCCTTGTGCACCCCCGTGGGTGGCAGCAGAAGACTGTCCCACTCTGGGAGGACCCAGAACTGCTTGCTAGAGCAGTGCACCCCATGGGCAGCAGAGGAGACCCCCGCTCCAGGGCTCTGGGCAGGTCCAGAACCGCTTGCTAGAGCTGCAAGCCTCCTGCGGGCTGCGGGTGGCTGGAGAGGAGTTCCCCTGCTCTGGGCAGCCACAGAAGTACTTGCTAGAGCCTTGCACACCCCTGTGGGTGGTAGTGGACGAGTCTCCCACTCTGGGAGAACCCAGAACTGCTTCCTAGAGCCACGCGCCCCATGGGTGGCAGAGTAAATCCCTGCTCCAGGGTTCTGGGCGGGCGCAGAACTGGGTGCTAGAGCCGCAGACCTCCTGCAGACGGTGGGTGGCCACAGAGTACTTCCCCTGCTACGGGTAGCCACAGAACCAATTGCTAGAGCCTTGCGCACCCCTGCAGGTAGCAGCAGACGAGTTTCCCACTCTGGGAGGGCCCAAAACTGCTTGCTAGAGCCGCGCACCCCATGGGCGGCAGAGTAGATCCCTGTTCCAGGGCTCTGGGTGGGCACAGAACTGCTTGCTAGAGCCGCACATCTCCTGCGTGCGGCAGGTGGCCACAGAGGACTTCCCCTGCTCCGGGCAGGCGCAGAACCACTTGCTAGAGCCTTGCGCACCCCCGCGGGTGGCAGCGGACGAGTCCTCCACTCTGGGAGGGCCCAGAACTGCTTGCTAGAGCCGCGCACCTCCTGCGGGCTGCGGGTGGCTGTAGAGGACTTCCCCTGCTCTGGGCAGGCACAGAACTACTTGTTAGAGCCTTGTGCACCCTGCAGGTGGTGGCAGAGGAGTCCCCCACTCTGGGAGGACCCAGAACTGCTTGCTAGAGCCATGCACCCCACGGGCGGCTGAGGAGATCCCTGCTCCAGGGCTCTGGGTGGGCCCAGAACTGCTTGCTAGTGCCACGGGTGTCCTGCGGGCAGTGGTGGAGTCCTCCATTCCAGGCAGACCCCAAACAGCTTTCTAGAGACACGCACACCCCACGGGGGCCAGCAGAGGAGTTCCCTGCTCCGGGCACCTGTGCTGGGTGGGCCCAGAACTGCTTGCTAGAGCCATGCCCGCCCTACAGGAGGCGGTAGAGAAGTCTTCCGCTCTGGGCAAGACCAGAACTGTTTGTTAGAGCCACGTGCATCCCACAGACGGAGGTGGAGGAGTTCCCCACTCTGGGCTCCCATGCCGGGAGGGAATGGATCGGATGGCTAGTGCCGCACACGTCCAACAGGCCATGGTGAAGGAGTCTTCCACTCCCCCTGGCTACTATGGTGGGGCTAAACTAAGACTGATCTGGTCGCTCGCGTATCCTACACTACCGCTGCCATTCCCCCACCCCCTGGCTGCTCCAGGGCACTGAACTAGGACTGATCTGCTTACTACCGATCTGCCCCCTGGTTGCCCCAGTAGGCTGAACGAGGTCTAATCTGGCCACGCACATTCCCGTGCAGCTGCTGCCGTTCCACTGCATCCCAGTTTTCCCAGCACCAGAGAACTGGGAGAAGACAACAGACACGCTCTGCCTGTCTCTCTGGGCAACCAGAAGAAGCCACCAACTAAACAGTTCTGATAAGGCCTCCAAACAAGGT